AGCAGTGTTGGATAAAAATTCAGTGGCTTCAAGGAATTTAACTTGGAAGGTAATTAGAATGGGTTTTTAATCTATTAAGTTAATATTAAAATATACTTAGAAAACACTGCATATAATGATATCCTTATTCCTAATTTCTCACATAATTTTGAATAGTATATTTATTTTATAACACTATCATGTAAATTATTGTATAATAGCTATGTCACCTTTAAATTAGACACAGGGATTTCTATATTATTTTCAGAATGATCAATGCTAGAATAACATCGCTGCCAAAATGAATGGGAAAAAACAGTAAGAGGCAGGAGGCAAAATTTTCAGGGCCCCAGATCCAAGAGACGGCTCAGAGCCCACAGTTCATGGTGTGAAGGGCCCTCAGCGATCTGCTGAGCATCTCCAGCGTCTGAAGAATACGGCTATCAGGAAAGGGAAGTCCGTGAGACATTCTCTCAGAAATATGAACAGAGCAAGCTGTTTCCAAGAGAAATATATGTGGTTCAAACTGATAGGGAGGGCTAGACCTATGATTTGGCTATCCATGGATTCTTTACAGCAGGTAAATACTTTTAGTACAAGATTCTATGTTATGTTAGCATGTTTGTTCCACCAGTACAAATTAATTACAAGGGATAAATAATGAAATTATCCTCAAACATCATCTTTTCCTGAACAAATACTTAGGTGATGAATAATATGATGTTGTGGGCTTCAAAATTTATTTTTAATGTTAATTTTTCTTGTAATTATTTCAAAATGCATGTTGAAAATAAAAAGTCTCTACTATCTTCATACATTATCTTCTTGATTTTAAAAATTAAATTAAGATGTCTGTATAGATGAGTATAGTTGCTATAATTTTTCATATAACATGCTGCAAAAATTCTTCACTAAGTATGTCTTTATATTATTAATTAGTGTTTCATTCATAACATATTTTGTTATCAATTTATAGTAGACTGAATTACATAAACATCTTGTTCAACATTTTAGATATTTCTGATTTTTTAAAAAATGAAATATAATTTTCCATAAAACTTATATCACTTCATTTCACTTTTAGAATAATTTTTAGGGTTGGGGTTACTTATATGAGAAATACAGTGATTTTTATGCCTCTAAAAATATTTGCTAAAACACTTCCCAATTAGATAATATGAATGAAGCTGTTTCGTTGCAATTTAGAAGACGTCATTATTTAAAAACCTGACTTAGAAACCTGTTTTATTTTTATGATGGATTCAATCCTTCAGTGCACTTTGTATGTATAAACACTATTTAAAATTAAAGTTTATATCAATATTACACACCTCCCTGTAGAATTATACATTGAAAAGCAGTTCATAGTAACTGTCTTATTTGACTCTCACAGGTCAGCAGCTTGAACAAATGTCACTCTGTTTTATGGGAAAGGACTCAGAAGCTTCGTGGTTTCTTCAGTGACACATGACTATAAATCTGTAGCTTCTAGATTTTTTTATATTGGAAAGTGAATAATTGTTATATTATTTTAATTAACTTTTCATTTTGGAATAATTTTAGGTTAATAGAAAAGTTGCCAAGATAATATAGAGTTTCTGTCTACTCCTCGGTTATTTTCCCCTAATAATTATCATCTAACATGACTAGTAGCACATTTGTCAAAACTGTGGAATGAATGTTGCTATATTACTCTTAAAGAAGCACAAGATTTGATTCATGTTTCACTAACTTTTCCACTTCTATCACTTTTCTGTTCTAGGGGTCAATCCAGGACAACACAGCACATTTAAGTACCTTTTAAATAATTTCTAATCATAAACCTTGTGATCATAAACTCTGAGGACACTGCCCTCTCCATTGCCTAAGTATTAACAGTAATTTTGGAAATTCCTTTTATATTAAAAAAAGAGCAGTTTGATTTGTTCATGTTTGATGAGCATTTTGATTCTAAAATAGTATTTCTCTTAGAAACTTCACAGATTAGGGACATACAGAGCCTAAGAACTACTTGTTAGATTAATACAGAGCCTTGCTCTTTCTCTCCACTGTTTGCATTATTTGATGTTCTTTGTTCAGTGACACTGCCTGAAAAAGAAGTGGGCTCCTGAGGATCTGGGCTTCCTAGGTGACGCTAAAGGTGAGGAACCTGCCTGCCAGTCCAGGAGACAGAAGAGATGCAGGCTTGATCCCTGGGTCGGGAAGATCTCCGGAGAAGGGCACAGCAATCCATTCCGACATTCTTGTCTGGAGAAACCCATGGACAAGAGGGGCCTGGCAGGCTCCAGTCCATAAGGTCACAAAGAGTTGGGCACAACTGAAGCAATTTAGCACCCGCACACGCACACATGAGGGTCTGAAGACTATAAAATTATATTCAGGAACTATTAAAGACTTAAAAGTGTTGCACATTTAAATGATACCATATCTTCACTGTTGCAACCAGTAAAAATATTTTATATTTGTGAATATGTAAAAGGATGAGTGAATACATTTGTAAGCCTAGATCATGGGAAAGCAGAAATTAGGAGTAAAAGCACTGTCATTTCTGCTCTGTGTCAAAGGCTCTGGGAGCTTGTTCTCACTGACGGCAATTTTCTCCAGTGCATCTAACTGCATTCATGGTTTTACCACTATCAGTATTGCCTTATCTGATTCTTCCAAGAACCTTATCAATAGGTGTTGCTAAAATACCCAATTACAGAGAATCTGAACTCTAGAGAATTTTAAGTAACTTTTCTTATCACATAATATAACTTAGCACAAGAGCTTGAATTTGAACCTACGTCTCTGTGACTCTGGAACTGATGTCTTTATTTCATTTCATTGGCTCCATATACATTAACAGTCTCTACTTTTTAATATATAGTCATTCACTGATCCAATGATCTTATAAGGTTTGTTTCATGTTCTTGTTTACTTGATGACACAGCTGAATATGGAGTTCAGAGTACAGGTGCTGCTTAGGAATGTCTAGCATCCTGGAAACAATTTGTTTTAAAGTGAGTAAAAAGACATATTGCATATATATCTGTATATGTGCTGGTTTTATTCATATTTTCAATCATTTTTGCTAGCTGTCAGTGTCATTCATAAAAATCAACTCATTTTTAATTCTTTCAGAAAGCCCAGTTATTCTTTTACTTCCCTATTTAACAAGCATAGATCATATGTATATGTACACACACACACATACTCACTTGCCCCTTGACTGATGAACCTCTCATATGAACAAGGAAGGACACAATCAGGCTTCCCTGGTGGTTTAGTGGTAAAGCATCTGCCTGCCAATGCAGGAGACATGGGTTTGATCCCTGCATCAGGAAGATCCACTGGAGAAGGAAATGACAACCCACTCCAGGGTTCTTGTCTGGGAAATCACATGGATGAAAGAGCCTGGCAGGCTACAGTCCCTGGGGTCACAAAAAGTCAGACACGACCGAGCGACTAAACAACAACAAAGGACATAGTCATTCTTCAAACGTGTCCTGCTATAAGAAATGAAGCCAAAAGTTGGCCTTTCTGTGGGTAAGCTGTCTGGCTTTTTAAGAGGGAGAAGAGTCGCTGAAATCAGTAAGGGCATTTTATCATAAGCAGCAATTTCAAATTTTCCAATTTGACCCTCATTATAATTGTATGAGATGAGTAGGGAGGTTATATGTGAATCTCCCTACATTACAGTAAGTCATATACATTTGAAACAGATACACACTGGTGAGTATTACTTGATCTGATTGGGCCACACTGAATAAATACTTAGCAATCAATTAATAAAGCCTCAGGCTCTGGCTATAGCCAGCGTACTGTTCCTAATCCTTACCTATGTGGTTATTGTCCATTTGTATCTGTAAATAATTGGACCATTACCTTCTGATTCTACATCATTGGCTCTGTGTCCTTCATTAAGAAGCATCAGCCAAACTTTAACACAGAAATCAGAAGGTTATAACCTCTACAGTGAATGGAGACTCTAGAGAAGCCCGTCCTGCTCTGAAGCTCTTGATAGGAAAAAAAACAAAAACAAAAACAAAATACTTCTTTCTCTGTAGTCAGTCACTTCCATGCTGGAGTCAGAGGTTCTGGGTTAAGATACAGAGCCAGCATCTGTTATTTCTTTAATTCTATCTCTTTAAGCATGGGCTTCCTACCAGTGAAACTGGGTAATAAGATCTAACGTGGAGTGTTTCTTAGCCATTTAACTCTGAACAACGGCTTCCTTGCATTATTCAGCTTAGTCATTGTGACAGTACACATCAGCAGGTATTACTTATTTTTGTCAGCTTCTATTCTTGTTTTTAAATAATGAGTGAAGAGAAAACCAACTTAACACATGGATATTTATTATGTCTTAGTCTTCGGCAAGGTGTGTTCCCAATGATCATTCTCTTTTTAAAAGAATGAATTAGTTGATTTTAAACTCCCAATTCTGTTTAGAATTTTAAAGAAATAACTAAGGGAACAGCCATGATCCAAGCACCTCTTCAGTTTTGTCTTATTTCTCCTTCTATCTGTAGATAAGGAAGTCACCTAATCATGGACAGCTTGCAACACCCCCCTGCCCCCCGCTTCTCACTTCCATGCACATGGCAGGCATGACCAATAAACTGCAATTTTCCTTTCCTCAGATCATGGATGTGGCTTCAGAACTCTTCTCACAATTCACTCCAGGAAACCACTACTATTAACATATGACCAGAGCTGGCAGTTGAGATAACAACTATTTCTTATCCCCACAGGTGGATCCCTATCCTTCTCCTACATTGAAGCTCTATCTTAAAATATTTAATAATTTATCTGTACTTCAATTCTTCCTGGTATCCTGCTGGCACCTTCAACAAATTTCTAGCTTTGTGTTCTCAATGATAAAACAAGCACAAGAACATAAGCTAATTTTTCACATGGATGCACCAATTTGTTGATGACTGATGACCCCTCAAACTGGTTTGAGACACATTTGTCCTTTTTCTTTCTGTAGATTCTACATGCTCACTGTGGTAGCTTTCACCTTTTCATTGGAAATTATGCAAAACCAAAGCTTTGTAACTGAATTTGTCCTTCTGGGGCTCTCACAGAATCCAACCATGCAGAAAATAATATTTGTTGTATTTTTGTTCATTTACATTGCAACTGTCGGGGGCAACTTGCTAATGGTGGTGACCATCAGTAGCAGCCCAGCACTCCGGGTCTCCCCCATGTACTTCTTCCTGGCTTTTCTGTCCTTCCTGGATGCTTGCTTCTCCTCCGTCATTGCCCCAAAGATGATTGTGGACTCTCTCCTTTGGAGGAAAACCATTTCTTTCAAAGGCTGCATGATCCAGATCTTTGCTGAGCACTTCTTTGCTGGGGTGGAGGTGATTGTCCTCAGCGCCATGGCCTATGACCGCTATGTGGCCATCTGCAAGCCCTTGCACTATTCTTCTGTCATGAACCATAGACTCTGCGTCCTTCTGATGGCGGTAGCCTGGACAGGGGGCTTCCTGCATTCCATGATACAGATTCTTTTCACTTTCCAGCTGCCCTTTTGTGGCCCCAATGTCATCAATCACTTCATGTGTGACTTGTACCCACTTCTGGAGCTTGCCTGCACTGACACTCACATCTTTGGGCTTTTGGTTGTTACCAACAGTGGGTTTTTCTGCATCCTAATCTTCTCCTTGTTGCTTGTCTCTTATGTGGTCATCCTGCTGTCTCTGAGAACCCTTAGCTCTGAAGGACAGCAGAAAGCCCTCTCCACCTGTGGATCTCACATTGCTGTTGTTGTTTTGTTCTTTATCCCATGCATATTTATGTATGTACGACCTCCATATTCTTTTTCCTTTGACAAAATGGTAGCCATATTTTATACCGTCCTAACTCCCTTGTTCAATCCTTTGATTTACACTTTCAGGAACAAAGAAGTGAAAAGTGCCATGAGGAAAGTGTGGAATAGGGTAATGGTGGTTTCTAATGAAAAATAAAACATTTAAAGTTGAATAAAAAATTCAAAGTTTCTAATCAAATCAGACAAAAATTTTATATGGATGAGCATTGTTTGACAGGGGCAAAGTAATGTAATAATATAAAAAATAGCATAAGTTCCAGGAAATAATTTAGTTTTCATTCTTAGATCACTTATGGACTCTGATTTGACAATTCAATATCCTCAAATGAAAATTAAGAAGACTTGAATTTTATGCTTACTTAAAATCTAAAAGTCAAAAAAGAATGAAAAAAATTACTCTCACTTCTTGCTACTAATTTGATATCTTGGAAAATATTTCTGGAGGGAAGACAAAATAGTCTTAGGGATTAGGTTTATACATATATAACTATATATGTATACCAATGAACTTTTTGCCCAGATTAATGTATCCAGATCACTGCTGTACAACTGAAAATAACAAAATATTACAAATCAACTCTATTTAAAAAAAATAAACAATAGAAAGAAAAACATAAACATATTAATATTTCAAATTTGGCAAAGAACTGTAATTATTGCTGATATTAGCCCTTTGATATTGATGATAACTACAATTAACACTTTGAAAGTGAAAGTGAAGTCGCTCAGTTGTGTCTAACTTTTTTGTGACCCCATGGACTGTAGCCTACCAGGCTCTTCTGTCCATGCGATTTTCCAGGTAAGGGTACTGGAATGGGTTGCCATTTCCTTCTCCAGGGGATCTTTTCAACCCAGGGATCAAACCCAGCTCTCCCTCATTGCAGGCAGATGCTTTACCATCTGAGCCACCAGCGAAACCAATTCAAGCGTTCATATAACACGAATAAGAGTAGTCAACCACACATATTTCAGAGTGTAGGAATAGCTTACTCCAGTTAACTTTCCAAGAACCAAATTAAGAAATTCACTCCATTTTCAGAGCACCCTCTCGGCTCCACTGCAGACCTTGCTGTTCTGTCTGACCCAGTGTTTCCAGGAAGGAGCTGTGTGAATTATGGCTACATGAAGTGTTCCCTTCTCCATAAACTCTTTACATCCCATCATCACTTGTGATAGAAGGCAATGATAAATCTCAATGAAGTATAGTTTATGTGTTTTATTCAAGCATCACATAATTCACCTTCTAAGTAAATGAGAGTTGAAGATATGAAAAATACACTCTGTTGGAAGTCATCTCTTTGGTTGTAAGAAAAGAGGTAAGTTTCTCAATCTGTCTGAAATATTTTCTTCTGTGCTGTGCTTAGCCTCTCAGTCATGTCTGACTCTTTGTGACCCCATGGACTGCGGACCACCAGGCTCCACTGACCATGGGATTCTCCAGGCAAGAGTATTGGAGTGTGTTGCCATGCCCTCCTCCAGGAGATCTTCCCAACCCAGGTATTGAACCCAGGTCTCCTGCATCGCAGGCGGATTCTTTACCATCTCCTGGAATCTATACTCAATGTGTCTTCTAACAAATGATAGAACTCCTGGGGAGTGTTTCTACCAATGAAGAATATGGTGGTTCGGGCTTCCTAGGCCTTCCCTGGTCTCAGCACGTAGCTGAACTACCTCTCAAAGGCATCTCTGCTCACAGAGGATGCAACACACTGAATCAAGGCCAGCTTGGCAGAAGTTTCTATCTTGGGGAGCACCTGGTTCAAAGTTTATGGCCAGGGCTGATGTTTCTGGGACAGAGTATGAAATTGGGCTTCACTTTCTACACACCTGGGTTTTCAAGATCCTCGACAATCCTTGCTATGACACACAGCAACAATCTCTCTTTAACTGAGGTAAGTGAAGGCGTGGTTGTTCAGGAAGAAAGAAGCTGAACTGTGGGATGAAAGTTCGGATTAAACGACTTTCTTTAAGATGTTTGCTCTCATCCCCACTCTATGTCTTTCTATATCCCATCCCCGACTCTTCTTTCCCTGGTACCTGCTCACTCCTCTCTCCTGTTCTGACTACATGAGCCTGCTTCTTTCCTCCTCTTCACTATTATCCAGTTAGATCTTTATTTTCTTTTGCTTTGATATCAGCCTCAGCATGCAGTTTAATGAACTTGGTTTTGGAGCAAGGACAGAAATTTAAGATTTCAATTGTCATCCTTCTCTCGTTACCCATGATTTCTCTTTTCTAAGATGCAATCTACATGATGATTAGGATTTGATATTTTATATGACATGTAGGGTGAACGCTGAGAGAGAGGCTACCTAGTAACATCCCTTTCTAGTTCTAGCCTAACTGCCTTAATTAAAACACTCTGTATCACAGGTCATGCTTTGTAAATAGAAACGGGTGAATCACATGGCCAGTTACCTTGCAAAAAAAAAAGTGTAGATCAAATGAAATAACACAAGCAAAAGCTTGTTTGAAAGACAAGATTATGGAACAAGAATATTTCATCCTGAATTATCTTATATATATTATATATGATATTATATATCATATATATATATATATATGGAACATAGGAGATAGAGGCAGATGTTTATTTAATATAGGAAGAATGGAAGAATTTTGGTACCAAATATATTTGAATTAGTTAACATTTGAGTAGGTATAAGGAAAATTTACCTAAATCAAAGAGGCAGGGTAATCCAGAAAAGTTTGGAGATAATGGCTGAATTCAATAAGAAAGTCCTCAGGTAGTATTGATTTGACCTAATGTATACATCTTGTCAATAATGCTTTCCTGTTTTTATGTCTCCAAATCTTCTCTTCGCTTACTTAAAATAAAATAGAATTACTTGAATGGGATTTCATGGTTGTCTGTTACCTACCCAAAATTTATCTCTTAAAACTTTTGGATTTAATGAGAGTGTAGTTTTTAATGAAGGGGGCATCTGTTTTTTCCTGAAGTAATGCGTGTTCCCTTTCTAAAAGTATTTAATCACTCTTCTATCCTAACTACTCCTCTTTTCACAGCAAAGAGCTCCCTCTTTTTTGTTTTTATCCCCTACTGGAAACCTAATGTATTAAAATTAAATGATCATTGATTTACTTTCTTTTTTCAATAATCATCAGAGAAAATTGAAACACCCAATCAGAATTTGCAATTATTGTGATATTTCTAATTTCTCACAGTGAACTAATATTATTTTAGCTCAACTGCAAGGAAAACCTAATTGTATTTAGATGTGTAGCTTTACTAGAGTTAAACAGTTTGACTTACTGATATTAATATATTTATCTTACTTAGGGAAACCCTTTATAAACTTTTTGAATATTTAATTTTCAGAGAACCTTGTTGGAAATTTCAGTTTAATTCAATGAAAGTCATAATTTCACTTATTTCCCATGTTTAAACCTTTAACAACCAATCAATTTATTTTCTAGGATCTTTCTGATATGGAGTTAAAATTCACTTGGTTTTATCACAGAGTTGTGTGTAGTTTTCAATGATTAAGAATCTTACACAGAGAAGTGGTATCCTTCCAACGTCATTGTGAGGAGGTGGAGGACATCTTTTCATGCCCTATAAATTGACTCCAGGTATGAGTAGGTTCTCAGTACACATTTGATGACTGAGTTGATGGTGTTATTGAATCACTAGAGAACTGATGATTAATCAGAAAGAGGAAGTGTACATCAAAATTCATGTTACAATTTGTTTCATTTGACATTAAATTTTTAAGGCATGCATCAAATGGAAACAGGAGTGTAAAACTGATAGAGTTTATTGCATAATGTTGAAAAAAAGAGCTCAAAACTTAAAGATATAAAAAACTAGACAAAGCATACAAAATTAAAAACAAATGAAATAGAAGAAATTAAAATATACAAAAATGTTATACTGTATTGCTAATCAAAATATATATTTTATAATGTTAATTATGTTAACTAAGCAAATATAATAGTGCCTCAAGTTAAATTTTTATTTATAATTTGTGTCATATTGTTATAGTTTTAGAAACAATGGAAATGATCTAATTTGTATATAAAATATTTCACGTATACATTTGTGTGTATATACATACATATATATCTGAAAACCTAGCAGAATGTGTAAGGAACTAACTTTTACTTCTGGTTTATGGGCTCCCCTGGTGTCTCAGATGGTAAAGAATCTGCCTGCAATGCAAGAGACCTGGGTTTGATCCCTGGGTTGGAAAGATACCCTGGAGAAGGGAATGGCAGCCCACTCCAGTATTCTTTTTTTTTTTTTTCATTTATTTTTATTAGTTGGAGGCTAATTACTTTACATCATTGCAGTGGTTTTTGTCATACATTGAAATGAATTAGCCATGGATTTACATGTATTCCCCATCCCGGTCCCCCCTCCCACCTCCCTCTCCACCCGATCCCTCTGGGTCTTCCCAGTGCACCAGGCCCGAGCACTTGTCTCATGCACCCAACCTGGGCTGGTGATCTGTTTCACCCTAGATAATATACATGTTTCGATGCTGTTCTCTTGAAACATCCCACCCTCACCTTCTCCCAGAGTCCACAAGTCTGTTCTATATGCCTAGAGTATCCCATGGACAAAGGAACCTGGTGGGGTTCATGGGGTCACAAAGAGTCTGGCAGGACTAGTGACTAACACTACCATGGGATCGGTTAAGTATGAATTTTTGAAGGTCACTTTTCTCACCCTGTAATACACTGAAAGCTCCAGAAACTTCATTATGCA